TTTTGTGGTACGCGGGCCTCTCACCGTTGCGGCCTCTCCCGCTGCGGAGCACAGGCTCCGGACGCGCAGGCTCAGCGGCCGTGGCTCACGGGCCCAGCCGCTCCGCGGCATGTGGGATCTTCCCGGACCGGGGCATGAACCCGTGTCCCCTGCATCTGCAGGCGGACTCTCAGCCACTGCACCACCAGGGAAGCCCTATTGAATTCTTTACTATGTCTCAAGCAGGGACTGTGTCTCAGTTATCTTTTTATTCCCAGCAAGTAGCATAACGCCAGACTTTGTAAGTAGTCAATTCATACTCATCAGCTAAATGGATACATTTTATGTCTTGGCTGTCTAGTATTTTACCTGTGCCAAAGCAGCTACTCCACGAATATTGAGTACACAGATGTGTAAATGAATAAATGGTTTTAGAAGACACGCAGTGAGTGCAGTTAGGAGAGAGGAAAGACGTCCCCTGCTTGCGTTGTGAGGAAGCTGAGTAAAGACTTAAAATGCAGGGTGGAGGACAGGGGCAGAATTGAAGAGAACATACAAAGTAGAACAACACTACCAGAAAACCTCCATCCACTCTGTTTTTATCTTGGCACCACTGTGGAGAATCCGTACCAGGCTATTCGGCGCAGGGGAAGTATTGGCTTCCTGAAGATGTGGTGCCTGGTGCCCTCTCCTGGAAAGTACCCATCCATGCCCCTGGGGGTGCAGGGAGCCCTACTTGTTCCATAAACTGGCCAGCGCTGCATAAACCCTCCCGAATGAAAACTCTGTCCCCTTAGCCAAGCCAACCAGATTAATTACCTCTGTTTCTGTATATATATATGGAATTTAAACTGGGAAATACAGACTAAAACTGGGCTTCAATAATGGGAGCTGAAGCTGGCAGAGAGAGGACCTCAGGTGGAAGGAAAAGTGATGCCTCTGGAGTGAGTCCATATTAGGAAGAATCGGCAGCTACGAGGAGACAGAAGCCCAAGGCAGAGGAAATCTATAATGAGTAGACAAGGGGGTGGGTTGAGCGTATCACTAGTCAAAGCAGCCGAGAAGGGCCCCTGCGCCACATGAATGGAAAACACTAGAGTTAGACCCACAGACTTACTTTGCCGAGGGGAAGGAACACGGCCCAGGCCGACAGCTGCCATGATCCCAAATGCCCTTCCAGATTGGATCTTTCTGAGGCCCGGCCCTTCCTGGGTTTCCCCAGGATCTTGTCTCTTGGAACAATGTGTATTCTTAGAACAAATTCCCATTGCTTATGGGTTGTTGAGGGTGTCTCTGTATTTCTTAAAATCGAGAGATCCTAAGTCACACCATTTAGATTTTCAGACAGGCTGCTTGGGCCCATAGGGTAGAATCCTTCCATCCCAAATGCTCAGAGCCCCAGCCGGGGACTCTGACTCCATCTGGGGGCCAAGACGCCTGAGCTGAGGCATGGGTGGAATATCAGAGCACCACACAGCCCAGGGAAGCAACGTCACCTGCACTCCTCTCTTCAGCTGCCTTTTGCTTCTGAGATTGTCTTCAGTGGAACCCTGACCTCGGGAACCCATCTGACGCACTGTATTTGGCTTGGGTCTCTCCCGGACCCAGTCCATCATTCACACCAGAGAATAACCATCTAGGGTCAGCTGGGCCAGCCCCAGGGCACCTGAAAACACTCCTGGGAGAGTAAACACTGAGTAAACCTGGCTGGGAGCCAATTTGAACTGTAGTGACCTTAGTAATGACTGCCAGCTCTTGGGATGGCCTTGCTATGTTACCAGCTTTCTTTCAAGCACCAGTGACAAGTCTCCCTCCAGTTGTCTTTCTATGAAGCATTTCACAGTGAGTAGCTGAAAGGAAATGTAGAAATGAACGCTATCCCTTTGTGTCTGGCACTGCTGTAACTGTGTTTGTGATACACTGCATGGCGGGCTGTTCACAGGATGCTATGGCTGACCTCAGATGTGTGTAACTTGGGGGCACAGAATCTGGAAGTGGACACCCTCATTTCACATTTTAAGATCTTCAGAAAAATTCTTTTAAAGAAGGGTGTGCGGGGCTTCCCTGGTGGCGCAGTGGTTGAGAGTCCGCCTGCCGATGCAGGGGACACTGGTTCGTGCCCCGGTCCGGGAAGATCCCACATGCCGCGGAGCGGCTGGGCCCGTGAGCCATGGCCGCTGAGCCTGCGCGTCCGGAGCCTGTGCTCCGCAACGGGAGAGGCCACAGCAGTGACAAGCCCACGTACCACAAAAAAATAATAATAATAAAAATAAAGAAGGATGTGTAACAGTTTCCTGTCACCTTAGTGTGTAATGCCCACAGCATGCTAAGTGCTAGAGAAATTTTTTGTGGCCTGGGACTTACATTCTAGTCTGGAGTTTACTTTTTTTAATTTGATAAAATATACATAACATAAAATTTATCATTATACCTGTTTTCATGTGTATCGTTCATTGGCATCAAGTACATTTACATTGTTGTGCAACCTTCACTGTCCATCTCCAGAAATTTTTCATCATTCCAAACCAAAGCTCTGTATCCATTAAGCAATAACTTCCCATTTCCCCCACCCGCTATCCCCCGGAAACTACCATTCATTCTACTTTCTGTCTCTATGAATTTGAGTGTTCTAGGTACTTCATATAAGTGGAATCATACAATGAAGCCTTTTTTGTTTGTCTTATTTCCCTTAGCATAATGTTTTCAAAGTTTATCTACATTGTAGCTTGTAGCAGAATTCCATTCCTTTTTAAAGCTGAACAATATTCCATTGTGTGGATATACCACATTGTATTTATCATTCATCTGTCGCTGGACATTTGG